TTATACAACCAGTGCTTTTCTAACCCTGATTTATTTAAGACAGCGTCTGTCATTCGCTATACAAACAGTGTTTTTTCTAACCCCGATTTAGTTAAGACAGCGGCAGCCTTTCCCCATACAAACAGTGCTTTTCTAACCCCGACCAAGTTAAGACAGCGGCAGCCTTTCGTTATACAAACAGTGCTTTTCTAACCCCAATTATAATTAAGTTTATACAGCGGCAGCCTTTCGTTAAACAAACAGTGCTTTTCTAACTCCGACCTAATTACAACAGCAGCAGCCTTTCGTTATACAAACAGTGCTTTTTCAAACCGCGATCTAATTAAGACAGCGGTATTATTTACATTATCTGTTACTAAAATCTGCACAAATGTTCTATTTCTTATGTAAAATGCTGTCAACATAAAGAAATAAAAATTATTTCATAACACTCCAAATATAGTTGCCATAATAAAATAGTATTAACGTATTATTGTCACGTGCAAAAATACTGTTCGGTAACATTAGTTTCAAACCACAAGAAACAATCTTACAAGTTTAAAAAATTCAATGAAGCAGTGGTAAAATCTATCCATATATACAAAATTGTATAGTTTTGGAAATACCAACTATACAAAATTGTATATTTTGGAAATATCAAATATACAAAATTGTATATTTTGTATATATGGGTACTTTTTCTTGTGATTGTTTAGCAGTTGCTATATTTTGCTAAGCAGCTGGTTGGTCAGTTTTTAATATGAGTTTAGAGTGATTCATTTCCTCTAACAGTTTTCTAACTTTATCTCGCTCACTTTTGGTAGAAATAACATCATTTTTGCGTATTTTTTAACAATAACCCAAACACTATGCTTCGTATGCCGTCATGGGAATAAATATGAAAGCATGTGCATGTTGTTGTGTTATTGAAACAGTGTTAAGATCTGAATTGAAACCTAATGTTTGTTTATCCGTAGCAACCACAACTTTATTATTATAACCTACCACTTTCCCAATCTGAAGTTGCATGTTACTCGGGGACATGTACAGGCCTATTCCAAAAACATGGTCTTCTTTAGAACCAGCATACTGTAGTACATCTTGATATCGTCTGATAGCTGAGGGTAGGTCAAAGGGGGATGAAATATCATCCTCTACGTTCGCAGTAAACTGCTTTTGTGCATGAAACTCGCACCAATGATGTTTGAACGTGTTTGTGACTGAGCTCCAATGAGAGCCCATACATAAGTTCTGATTCAGAGTCATTAATTCCTTAAATGCTATGGTGAGTAAAACCTTCTGACTTATCTAAAAATAATAATTTTGTTATCTTGTGGTTGCTCAACATTTTGGACCTTGAAAGTTCATATGAGCATCACTCTTCTCTATAATCGCTAGAGCAAAACGAGGTAGAAGCTGACCTCTTTTCATTACATCAACGCCGACCTCTTTAACAGAGTGTATGCCACTGTATGGAATACCTAGACCATGGTTAACTCCATTCCGAATCTAATCTTCATTTGTAGAAATAGCAAATTCCCCCAAAATACATTCATATTGATTGTACGGATTATTTGACACATTCCATGCTTTATCCTATGGTAATGGAGCACTTATTTCTGCAAGGACACGCATAATTTGATAGTATTTATGAAATAAAAAAAAACAGACTTATTTTGACAGGATGGTCACAAACAGATTCGCCACAGACTGTTGTGGCACATCTTCCCGAGGCAAGAGAGTTAACTGACTTTAAAGTCCAGTTTCCACCCTTGCCGAACTAGTCTGGAATTCCTGGGCTCCATCGTAGCGCCACCAGTGGTTATTACGAGTTATGTCCCTTCTAAGCCTCTCCAATGGACCAATCGGATTCCATCATTTGCATTTGTTTCAAACAAAATGGCGGCGCCCAGTCAAGACGATCTGATCGATAATCAAGATCTTTATTGTGATAAAACGGGTCTTACATCGCGAAGTCAAATTACGCGAGCACCTTGATTAAAAACATGAAAAGGTTTGGAAAATATCTGTTGACAAATAGTTGGCGGTGCAAATGCTTTGCAAATCCTGCAATCGACCGAAATCTGCTTGACAGTATACCAACCGGATTTCGATTTCGTTGCGTGATTTTGATTGGATTATGCATAGACTCGTTAGTCCAACCAAAATGTAACTTCATAATACCAGCCTAGTTCGGCAAGGTTGGAAACTGGACTTTTATGGTCAGTTAACTCCCTTGCCTCGGGAAGATGGTTGTGGCACACCACATAGCAAAGTTTAGCTGGTATTGCAAGAAGTGCATTGGATTGGAGAACCAATCATGTACTGTTTTGATGTTCGTTGCTGTGAACCTGTAATTTCGAACGATATCAGGGAAATGAGTTTGAAACTGAGCACCAGAGAAATCAACTAAAATTGTTGGGTATGTAAGGTCAGTTGCGTCTATACTTCTTTCAGGATAAAAACATTCCCGTCTTGTGCTTGGTTTTAAGACCTCCCATATTGGAATTATAATATAGTGTCTTTGTGTACATATTATGTATGTTACACTCCCGGGAATAACAAATGGCCAGTCTATTCAACTTCTTCATGCTATCATAACTCTTCAGGGAATCTTGAAGTAGCCCTATGTGATATAACATATTACCCACAATGGCACAATATAAGTACTGGTAATTATAAGTTATTAATAGATGGAGAACAACATACCATAACGGATGGATATTACAGTGTGTGGTCACTTGATGACCAAGCCTTTTGGTGCTAGTCTCACGCTTCATGAATCAAATTGAAAACTTGTTTTGAATAGTGGATCACACTCTATGAAACTGTGGTCAAGATAAGCATAAACACTTGGTCTTACAGGAACAGAAAACAATGCAACAACTAATGAATATAAGATACCTGATATAGTCCCATACTGAGAACTATGCATGCATCTTGAGCAGATAAGCACAACGCATAACATACAAAACGAAAGTCCTTCAACTCTACTAAGACTATTCCAGTTAAAGACGAAAATTCAAGTGGCATAACAGCATCTTTCTCATCATTGCAGTATAAGAACTTAAGGCAGGGCATTATTACAGATTTCAAAGTTTCTGTATGAGATGTAAACGTGAACCTGTATATGTAGGATATTTGAGTATGTCACTCCACATCATAAGTAATGGTTGATTCTGCAGGTCCTAGAATGCATAACCTTAGACAATGTAATACAACTGCACTTTCCAATCTTGGAGACACAGAAGGATTTTATGAAGCCGGTATCGAGGGAAGTCACATGCCTTACAAGTACAAGATAATGTAACCAAATAAGTTATTAACAGAACCTAATATCACAGCTACTCCAAAACTGGGGTATTTAAGAGACATCAAGGTTATCAGACCCAATAAAAACACTTTATATGATCTTGTTCTAAATTATGAAAGAAAAAGGACCGAGATCGAACCAAAACTCGAATGGCTACTGAATACCATCATTGATCCACCATATGTGATGACGTCTGACAAGGCACATCGTTTAACTAAGATCATGAATTGTGGAATTATACATGGGGCTTATATTCCTTCAAAACGAAAGAGTGTGTCAGTCGATGACCAAGATCATCTGTCATTGAGTCGCCCAGCATTAAAAGATACTTTTAAATTTGGTTACTGAATTCAAAGATGTATTAAACAACTTTACGCAAACCTGTATACTCTACACTTTATTGAAGTCTTGTTGGGAGGTGCATCAGAAGATGCCCTCGGTATATTACAGGGTCTAAGAATTAAATGACTTAAAAAAAACATCAACATCAACATTGTATTATTTTTTTACAACTAGTAACAGCAATCATTCTTTCAAGCCTTAAAGGTGTTAATATTCTAGTTGATGTGATCATTTCACCCACTAAGATATTTATGCCATATAATATACACCTAAAAAGGTTGATGTATAGTCTCACGACATTGGTAATCAGACGATTAAAGACTCTTTAATAATATTATAATATACATTACGGGTTTATATCCTGCACTTGATGAAGCATCTGAATATATGGATAGTGTTGATGGATTTCGAATACATCAAATAAGTGAAATATAACATCAAATAGAGAAGGAGTGTGATTCTAGAATAGGATTATATTAAAAAAGTAATGCAGAGCTGTGAATACTCTTAATGGAGGCGACACTATATTTACAACAGCCAGCATAGGGCTTGGTGTGGCTGGCGTTGGTTTATCAACAACAATAATTGCTGCACCTAACATACTTGGCATGGACGTAGAGCCAGAGTCTCCGTGTTCTAATGGTAGAGGGTCCGCCCAGAGAGCGGAAGGTCCGGGGTTCCATCCCCAGCCGCGTCATACCAAAAAACGTTAAAAGATGGTACTTGTTGTTACCCTGTCTGGCGCTCGGCATTAAGGGGCTAAAACAAGGACTGGTCGGCTCGGAGTCAGTATACTGTGTCTGAGTGGGGTATTCATGTTAAACTGCGGCATGGTATCACAGTGTGCTAGCACTATAAATCGGCATCAGTCCGGACTAGTACAAGCATGGCGCTACACACACACACATACACATGCATACACGTCGCTATATCAGTGCAATAATCTTGGACGCGACGTTAAACCCCATTTCACCTCACCTCACCTCACCAGGAATAACTATTAAATATATTTCCCGTAAATTACAAAAGAAGGCAACAAAACATGATAGTATTCGTAAATCAAATTTGACACAATGAAAAACAAATCTCGTAAGTCCAACGGAATTAGAGGAGACGAGAAAGAAAAGTTCATAGACCAGAGGAGACAAGAAGCATGCCAAGCATTCCATGCCAAAACGAAAGCAATGGTGGGAGATTAAGAATAGATCGTTTCCTCGATATAGGATGACATCTTGATCCATGGATCGTCATCATATAGTTCGGCTAAACGTAAGACCCACATGCAAGAATTGTTAGGGTCGAGGTCCGGCCCAGGCTGTGTTGGTGCAGAACCCCCATCATCTATACTACTTATTACAATTTGCAGGTATACTGAACGATCGGGTGCACGTCAGACAAGGCAGGCCAGAGGTAGACTTGGAACAGCATAGATTGTCACTTTTTGAAGTGGCGCTTGGACTCGGGACCAATATCGAACGAAAAAAGCAGTAACATTTAAAAAAAATCTTGTATGAGTGCTTCCCGTAGAATTACGGTAATAAATGCGGTCATCACGATGGGACATATTTGGAAATATAAACGTTACTTTCCTCGATGCGATATCCCATGGTACAAGGAAAATGTTATTTTTCATAATGAACTTAACTCTTAAGGTTTGGTATGTTTTGTTTGTCAATCCAAATTGCTGACTTGATGACTGCAGGAATATGATCAGACCACTACATAGGAAGATATTCCCTGTATCGGTTGAAGCTATTAAACTCTTTGCAATATCATCCAATTGAACTTATCATTTGTCATCTTACTTGCAAATATTTCTAACTAATGGAAGAGGATATTATCTTGAATATGGAGGTTGTCATTGAGGCTTAAGGATGGACTTAACTTGGATTCAAACTGTTCGGTAACAGCTGATTCACTTCCCACATGAGAAAACACAAGCAACAGAAAACGTTTCAATTGTTATGATTCTTGTTTAATCAATTCCTTCTGAGAATTAATTTGGCTTTAATATTGATGCACTGAGGAGATAATGGTGACAAGAATCCAAATTTAAAAACCGGTGAGCTGTTTCTGTGAAAACAAGATACGTGTGGCAATGAACGTTTACCTTTTTACGCAAGTGAGTCAGTGGCGGGTCCTACTGGTAGGGCCAGGCAGGCTTACCCTTTTTGCGAACACCTGGTGCCATCGCTGATTTTTGGTGTTCAACACATATAATGTTCACCGCTGTACTGCCTTTTAGGCCCAATGGTATCCGTTTCGGCAGATAATCGAGACCTTCTTTGGTGTCGACGTCATATATTTACATGCAAACAGAGTGACAGGGCTTCTTGATTCTCTCAAGTTTTGGTATAAGGTCAGTTTTTTTTATGCCTATTCATATTCATTAGCTGGCATATTGGATGCACAAAAACCACATGATAGCCTAAACATCCAAATTGACACATGAAGGTAAAAGTCTTACTTAATTTCAAACATTACCAAAAGTAAAATGCAGAAACTGGTGCAACAGGTAATTGTGATATGGATATGTCTGGAAGACAACTCAAGTGTATCGCTGAAACGATTAAGACATTGCATTATTAACATAAAACTATGATATCCATATCGAGATGAAAGACTTAGACATTGGTTGTTTTTCAAGATTGTTGTGTATCAAGTAATCATTTCTCAAGATACACATACACTTAAAACTTTTCTTGAAAACTTAGCAGTTCTAGCAAGAAGGGCAGGGTTTCATTACATAAACAATTGTTTCATACATTTACATACATGAAGGTGTTCATTTTAATATTGTGGGACATCTTACAAGTGTGGAGCGGGCGAGTTTCATAGAGGATATATCATATGTGAACATGATGACGCCTTTCTGGATTGCTAACAACATATTTCAAGGAATGAGAATTAATACGTTATCAATAAATAAGTTTATTTTATGCAGCAATACAATCCAGTGCAATACATTCAACGGTTAAGCGGTAAAGGTACATTTAGCCATGTCTTGCTGATCAGTTCAGGTGCTGCAGCTATGGTATTTCCTGATAATCTGAAAACGTTCACTGGTGTAAGAGGTACAAGAAACATGCCTTAACAATCGTTCATATTTGAATAACATGGTGATCGTTATAAAGTTGTATATCCGAACATCAAACGAATGATAGATTCCTTATTATTCCAATTAGATTTCAGCCTCATTGTTTCATCGAGGGAACGGACAATACAAAGAATAGTTAGTATTGAAAAATTGTTGTCATAAATATATACTAGAATAGGATTGGACGGAAGCTAGTTTGTTGTTTTACGCCGCACTCAGCAATATTCCAGCTATATGTCGGCGGTCTGTAAATAATCCAGTCTGGACCAGACAATCCAGTGATTAATATCATGAGCATCGATCCACGCAATTGGGATCGATGACATGCATCAACCAAGTCAGCGAGCCTGACCACCCGATCCCGTTAGTCGCCTTTTTGACAAGCATAGTTGCCTTTGACGGCAAGCATTGGTTGCTGAAGACCTATTCTACCCCGGATCTTCACGGGTCTGTATAATATTGCATTACGATGTTCACAGGTAGGAGTTTCATATATTCCTGGTTGAGAGACTGTGAAAATATAAATGTCATTCTCAGAAATCAAGTGTTTACTTACTGTTACAGGTAATTTTAATAACTGACTTTTGATGACTTATTTATTTACCTTTACAGTTATCAATGTACTTAACTTAAATCCACATAGCTGCATATAAATGAAGCAATTACTCTCCATGACATATTCATACAAACAAAAGTGATTACAGCTTTCTGCTTTTTTTAAAATATGGTGACAAGCCAGTCAAAGTTTTTGGGACTATTGGCCTTATCGGAGAGATCAGATGCACCCAGTTAGGTGAAGATCTTATCATAAAAAGTTATTGAAGTTACAAGCGGTAACCATGCTTTGTTTGTTGTATAAGGCTGCACTCAGCAATATTCCACCAATATGACGGAGGGTCTGTAAATAATTGAGTGTCGACCAGACAATCCAGTGATCGACGTCATGAACATCGATCTACACAATTTGGAAAACGTGATGTGCCTCAAGCAAGTCAGCGAAGCCTGGCCCCGTCAGTCGCCTCAGTCGACAAGCAGGGGTTGCTGGAGATCCGTTCTACCCCGGAAGTTCACGTAGTAGTAAGCTTGCTCATGTTATAAGTAATGGCCTTGACCTTTTTAACGTAAATATGTCAGATTAAACACTTGAAAATATAAAAGCCTGCTAAAGAGTATGCTAATTCAAGCTTAAGCATATTGTAGACACAAATTGATATTCAACTGATTACAAGGGGGCACGGCTGGCCCAGTCGTCTAACGCGCCGCGATTCGCTGTGCAGAGTTGCGTCCCTTGGGAACGCCAGAAACCTATGATTGTGGGTTCGAATCCCGGTTCGCCCCGATTATGTTTCTAGGTTTGTCAGCACCATACCCGTGCTCGTGGGTTTCACCGAAGTGGTAAACGTCCGAGACCTGCATCACTTCGGGCTTTCCTCCCACATAAAGCTGACACGCCGTGATATAACTGGAATACTGTTAAAAGCGGCGTTAAACCAAACTCACTCACTCACTCACTCACTCACTCAACTGATTACAAGCACCCACATTTCTAACAAGCACCATGAAAATAGCTTTAATTTGTTCAAGCTCCAAGGCTTACGTCATTCTGAAGAATCATCTTGTGAACATAATCTGAAAATATGAAGACACAATGTGGCAAAGGTTTCTTATGTAAAACTGGCACGATGGCTGCAGGCTTATCTATGCGTGGGCTTTTCAAAATGAAATGTTTACTTCGTTGTAGCTAGGACCATGTAGAACATGTTATAAGAAAAGGATATTGATATATTCAAGAGATTCAGAGAAGTAAAAATTCTAAGTTGCTAATGATAACGGGCAGTCTGACGAACACCGTAACATCAGTTCACATTAACGTTGTCAGGTTAGGTGAGATAAAGATTTATTATTTCATCCGACTACGACATGGTAAGCAAAGATCTATCAACCATAAAATCACATAGGTGTGGTCATAGTGTCACTGATATCTTACGTGGAAGGACTTCTTAGGACATGTGCAAATTTTAGTTCAATGACTGAGAACAGGACCTAAGACACTGACAATGACATAAAAATGTAATTCCTTTTTTTAACTATAACCTCATAACTTGCCCAAAATTTGAACAGCCATAAGGTGAGGTGAGGTGAAATAGGGTTTAACGTCGCGTCCAAGATTATTGCACTTAGATAGCGACGTGCATGTACGTGTGTGTGTTTGTGTGGCTGCTTGTACTAGTCCGGACTGATGCCGATTTATATTGCTAGCTCACTGAGATAACATGCCGCAGTTTAACATGAATACCCCACTCAGACACAGACTCCGATCCGACCAGTCCTTGTTTTAGCCCCTTAATGCTGAGCGCCAGACAGGGTAACAACAAGTACCATCTTTTAACGTCTTTTGGTATGACGCGGTTGGGGATCGAACCCCAGACCTTCCGCTCTCCGGGCGGACGCTCTACCACTAGACCACGGAGGCGGTCCGATCAGCCAAAAGGAAAGGTCTATCACAGGATATATACAATTTATGCGGAATCAAAGTGTTGTTTTGTTTTATTTGTTGCTTAACACTGAACTGATCAATTATACAGTTATACGGAAACCTGTAAATAATCTGGACCATAAACCCAAAGATTGGTCAACCATGCAGTTAGGGTACGATGAAATGAAATCACCCAGTCACCAAGCTCAACCACTGCATACATTTAGTCGCCTCTGAGAAGAGATTGCCGGGACCTAGTCTACCCAGAAATCTCCATAGGGTGATATCACAGCGAAATATCACTGGTGGGGTCCATTAATCTTGACAAAATCTCAAAGCAGCCCTATTTCACAATTTCACATAGAGCAATGAGCAAATCCACATGGTGTCGTCATATACGGTAAGGCATCATACAAACGTCAAGATATTAAAGATTTGTTTGTCTGTTGTTTAACTCCGCACTCAGCAATATTCCAGCTAGACGACTGCCGTCTGTAAATAAACCAGTCTTGACCAGACAGTCCAGTGATTGACATCATGAGCATCGATCCGCCCAAGTTGGATACGATGACATGCATCAACCAAATCATCGAGTCTGACCACCGGATCCCGTTAGTCGCCTCTTCCGACAAGCATAGATGCCTTTAACCGCAAGCATGGGTCCCCATAGTCCTTTTCTAAACCGGATCTTCAGGGGTGAGATATTAAAGAAGTAATCAAAGAAGTATTTCTTGTATATTTATTACTCTTTATGCATTACATGAATATTACTCATAACAAACAACTGATAATGTCACCATTCAGAAAAACAAGAACAAAAAGCTAACAAAAGATTTCCTCACAAAAGAGTTCCCTGTTTCTTAGGCTAATTCCATGTTTCAGTATGGGTGGTTGGTTGGTTTGTTGTTTAATGCTGCACTCAGCAATATTCCAGCTATATGACGGCGGTCTGTAAATAATCGAGTCTGGACCAGACAATCCAGTGATTGACATCATGAGCATCGATCCACGCAATTGGGATCGATGACATGCATCAACCAAGTCAGCGAGCCTGACCACCCGATCCCATTAGTCGCCTTTCCCAACAAGCATAGTCGCCTTTTACGGCAAGCATGGGTTGCTGAAGACCTATTCTACCCCGGAATCTTCAGGGGTCGTTTCAGTATGGTGGCTCAAACACAAGTCCTCATCACACAGTTGCAGTGTATTATGCTTTTTCATGGGAGGATAGGCCAAGTACTAGTACTGCATTGTTGAAGCCTAAGGAATTGGCTGATTTATGGCAAAGAATTATGGGGATGTATTAGGAGAAGAATAGGTGACCAGTACCCACTGCTTGTCACCTGAGTGGACCGCCTCCGTGGTCTAGTGGTAGAGCGTCCGCCCGGACAGCGGAGGGTCCGGGGTTCGATCCCCGGCCGCGTCATACCAAAAGACGTTAAAAGATGGTACTTGTTGTAACCCTGTCTGGCGCTCGGCATTATGGGGCTAAAACAAGGACTGGTCGGCTCGGAGTCAGTAAACTGTGTCTGAGTGGGGTATTCATGATTAACTGCGGCATGGTATCTCAGTGGGCTAGCACAATAAATCGGCATCAGTCCGGACTAGTACAAGCAGCCACACAAACACACACGCGTACATGCACGTCGCTATATAAGTGCAATAATCTTTGACGCGACGTTAAACTCCATTTCACCTCACTTGTCACCTGAGTGGACTAGCATGGATCAAGGTTGTTTTGTTTTGTTTTTTGTTTAACGCCACACTCTGCAATATTCCAGCTATATGACGGCGGTCTGTAACTAATCAAGTCTGGTCCAGAGAATCCGGTGACTGACATCATGAGCATTGATCCGTGCAATTGGGGTACAATGACATGCATCATCAACCAAGCAAGGATAAGAATTTATGGATGAACAACTTCTTTATTACAATTAAGAGCCACGTTTCGGTGTAGGTTCTAACACCTTTATCAAGAAAATGAATGCCACGTCTCCATGAAGACGACGAATAACTTCTTTGAAAGGCATTTAGAAGTTGGAGTACTAAGTAAGGATAAGAATTTATGGATGAACACCGTTAGAACCTACACCGAAACGTCGCTCTTATTTGTAATAAAGAAGTTGTTCATCCATAAATTCTTATCCTTACTTCGTACTCCAACTTCTAAATGCCTATCAAAGAAGTTATCATCAACCAGGGTCGGTCGGGTAGCCTAGTGGTTGAAGTGTTCGATCGTCACGCCGAAGACCCGGGTTCGATTCCCGACATGGGTACAATGTGTGAAGCCCATTTCCGGTGTACACCGCGGTGATATTGCTGGAATATTGCTAAAAGCAGCGTAAAATCAAACTCACTCACTCACTATCATCAACCAAGTCAGTGAGCCTGACCACCCGATCCTGTCAGTTTCCTCTGATATTGACCGTCACGAAAGGCTGCATAAACCAGAGGTCACCCTGGAGATAAAGAGCACAAAGACATCCCAGCAGTACACACACATGTTGCTTAAAACATACAAAACATGTTGCACAACAAAACTGTAACAGCACCCCACCCCACCCCACCCCCCAACACACACACACACACTAAACTGAAAGCCTCAAACAAATACATAATTAGAAATTTATTGATTTCTATTCTTACCTACTCAATTGGTTAGAAGACACATAAACATAATAGAAGTGTGGCTTAACCCAGGACTTGTAAATCTGGGATTCAAACCAATGATGGGCATCCTTGCAACTATTGAATGACCTTTGATTACTGGGTAACCCGTCCGTGCCTTGTGAAATAGAGTGTTGAGGTTGAGTTGAGTTGAGGATATTAAAAATTGAGTTGCACAGGACAAAGTATTATAATGGCCCCGTTTAACGTTAGACATTTCGCATGGGTAAAAAATGTCCCTGATGCAAATTTGTCCTTTCTTGATGCAACCAATGAATGACAACTCAGTAGAGCAACTTCTGGTGCCTTTGACTATTGGAAAGTATGATAAGGGTCCTTTTTGCATAATGACAGAAACGAGAACGTTAACAGAAGTGTTCATATGACCAATTGCCTACCTGTGTTCACTTCAATACTTGCACGTTTTAGGCTTGTCACAAAATAAGTTTGTAAGGCTCAAATGTGTCTTAAGGGCTGATTTATGTTTTGAGAAGCATTTTCCCAATGTTTGAACATGAGCTTGGCTTTCGGCCAAGCTGATATTCATAGACCCCAAATGTACCTAACAACAGTACAGACAGATGGTAATATGTGAAGTTCGAAAATGTTTCCATTTTCGTAAAATTAAGAACTATATTAAACCAGAAGGCCAAAACTTGCAAGCGTAAGAAAACGATCTTTTTCTGAGCCATCTCAAGTATTCTGAACGTTTGACATTTCAAAAGGGTCAAAAAGGTCCCTGATCCTATCTCATCCTTTGCTGATAAAGCTCATGCAGAATTCACTCACTCCACAAACTATTGAACAATATTTTCAAAATAAACAGTAGACGAATAGTTATAGTTCCTACACACCATTGTACACTGTCTGACACATCACAGTTACAGATCGTTTCACAGACCACATATTCTTCACAGGTTACAGTGAATACCTTAGAGGTGCTTAGTGTTCAAAATGCTTAGAAACAAAAGCATGATAATTAAAACAAGAACAAATACAGGATTCAATGTATTAAGCACAAAGTTCCAAACAGGGTGACCAAAGTTCCCTAAAAGATGTCGGCCGGTACAGACTTGGATCAGAGCTCCACACATTTGCAATTTACATCACCATAACCAGGATTTGGGCAAAACAGAGGAACGCAAGACTGCGCCTTGAATTGCATCAAGCTTGTTGGCCAGGTCACCGTGCACATCTCAACACTTGAACACAAACCTAAAGCACATTAATCCACAACCTACGGCTTGTGTCACTTGCAAGAAAAGAAATTGTCTTAAAACTGATAGAGAGTAATAAGTACTGAGTACTAATTACTGCCGAAAAGTACTAAGTACCATTGAAACATTCCTCCTTTTAAACTACCATATCACAACATAGTTGCATCATGTAGATCTAGCACTGAATGGCATTATTAATGGATTGTCCTTGCACTTTAGAAGTTGGGAAAATATATAAACTGCTTGTTTTACCAATTTGCTGAAAAAAGCTTGCCATGAAATGGATATTATGATGCTTCTGTAGACATTCATAACACTTGGGTTACAGGACTTATGCAAGTTAATACTGTAAACGATAGGTTTATCACTCAGGGAACACGGTGTGATGTAGACTCAGTGAGGCTGTGTGCTCCTAGCCAACAGTTCTGGGTACAGAGACAAACGACCCGTGAAGATCCGGGGTAGAATAGGTCTTCAGCAACCCATGCTTGCCATAAAAGGCGACTATGCTTGTCGTAAAAGGCGAGTAACGGGATCGGGTGGTCAGGCTTGCTGACTTGGTTGATGCATGTCATAGATCCCAATTGTGTGGATAGATGCTCATGATATCTATCACTGGATTGGCTGGTCCATACTCGATTACTTAACATACCGCCGTCATATGGATGGAATATTGCTGAGTGTGGCGTAAAACAACAAACCAGACAAACAGAAACAGGGACTTATCTGGGATTCCAAACTGAGAACCCTTGGCAAGCTAATTGGAAATTGAGTTATTTTGTTCAAAATTGGGATTCTTTTCTGTCCTGTTTTCTTAGGTTAAGAGTTTTATAACATCATATATATATATATATATATATAAAACAGTATCTTCAAGGATGTAAAACTAAGCATTAAAGCCTCTTCCTCTTTATTGGTCCTGATATCAGAGAAAAACAAGTGGACCTGACCAAGTCATCATATCAGTTAACATAAATAAAGAATGTTTTAATTACAATATGGGAATATTAATGGACATCTGTTGGAGCCTTGAGGCTGAATATCGGCCTCTGATTTGTTTGTTTGTTGTTTAATGCTGCACTCAGCAATATTCCAGCTATACCAAGGCGGTCTGTAAATAATCAATCTTGACCAGGTAATCCAATGACTGATATCATGAGCATCGATCTACGCAATTGGGATATGATGACATGCACCAACCAAGTCAGCAACCAAGTCATCCGACCACTTTAGTCGTCTTTACAGCAGTAGAAACTAACATTTTTAGTCCACTTGTCCTTATAATGATAACATATAGCAAAACCCTTAAAAAGGGCAACTTTCTGCTAGTCCTTATGATACCTTAACTATTGGGCAGTTTGGCAAGGACTACAGGACTAGTGCTCATTTCTGATGCTGCTTTTACGACAAACACACAATAATCTTAATCCAGATCTTCAATGGTACCAGCCTCTGAGCAGGTCTAGATAATTTCCTGAGAAGGTACAGCAAATCTTATTCCCATAGCAACAAGCCTAAGTTGTCTGTTGCCATGACGGCAGGTATATTTTCCCCAGCAATTTAAGTATTTTACATGTGAGGTAAGAACACACTAATTATACTTGATGGGAAACAAAGGATTGCACACTTCTGTTTTAAATTGAAAAGTAATAAAATCATGTAGATTTTAAAAAGAGTTATCTCAGAAAAGTTAACTATTCTGAATACAGAGAGGTGGACATTAACATCTTTAACATCTTCCCCTGGCAAGAGCATCCACAAACCTTTTTATGAAAGTCATGTTTCCACCCTTGCCACATTAAGCCCACTTTCCCGGGCCAAATACGATTGGACTAAAGCACATAACAATAGTCCAATCAGAGAACAATTCACAAAATCATCATCATGATCATCCATGACTGCACACCTTCGTATGAAAGTGATTTACTGCTGCCTGTCTTTGTTGACACATATCAGGGTATGAAACTCCCAAAACTTTCAGCCAGTCCACAGGACTGGCTACCTGAAATACTTGCCAGCCCTGACCAAAACCCGCCTGCCCACTATAATCATATGTTTCTCAGGATAAGCTTACGGGGTTTCTTTTTGGTTACATTTTATCATTCATCTTTACATGTGAATTAATGCTTATCATCGGGAAATATTTAGAATATTTTCGCATATGAAACATAACCCGACCGTCGGGCAGGGGGATTTGAAAATCTGGCAGCCCGAGTTGAAATCAACCCGTCTCGGGCAGGCAGGTATTTCGAACACTGCACATATATGTCTTTTTCATATTTTAAACCCTGCAATGATTGCCTATGTTTTTGTGTCAGGGATGAAATCGCAAATGTTTTCTTTATCTGATCGACTAAATCGTCGCCTATGGTAGTCGCCATCTTTGTGAAGCTATACGAGATGAGAACAGCGATCTGATTGGATATCATGTTTTCATTACAAGGGGGACAACTTGTGATCTACGCGAGGTGCCGCCAGGGTCAAGCCAAGAAAAGTGGCCTTGATGTGGCAAGGGTAGAAACTAGGCTTTGATATAGGCTGGTGGATACGTTTGCCTCGGGACGATGGGCCAATAAGAACAATGAGGTGTCTCCTCTTCAATACCAGTGGCCACAACACAAGGCTTTAAGCCTCTATTAACAAGCCTTCTTCAAAAAAAGGACTCAAAACGATCATAATTTATCAAACATGTTCAATAATAATTTTTGTGAGGATTGAAATCTGAAGCACTAAATCACACACTGACACAAACATTTTGACCATGTTGACAAGCCACTTGTATTCCATTGAACCATGATAACGTTGAGCACAATGAATTAATAGGCAGCCAAGTGCACTAAATCACACACTGACACATGATCTTTACCATGCAAACAAGACACTTGTACTCCACTGAACACGAAAGACGTTGTGCACTATGAATTATTAAGCAACCATGGTGCATGAGAAATTGACAGTCTCTCCATGGCTTCTCTGGAGAGAGGTTCCTGGGGAGGGAAATGTGGCAAGTTAGATAAAGCATGATTTAATGGGTGTACATATGGCTGAAAATGCTGAAAGTTTGGGACAGGGTTCGAAATAACCGATTCCCTCTCTGAGGGTTTACAAACCGGGTGAGATCGAAATTCTTTCTCAGATTCGGCTTTTGATTTTTGTAGACAAGGCTTTGTGTTTGTGAGATCTTCTGCCTCGTCTTTGTTTTGCTGAACTGATTTTGGTGGATCACAATCCGATTCTGTTTTTACCCGATTCCCAACTTTGCCATCACCCAAGTCTTTCTCAGCCTGATATTCGGCCATGTCACTCTGATAGAGCAGGGGAGTGAGGGTTGGGAGGGCGGAGAGTCGGCCACACTTCTTCTTGTGATGAGACAGTTGGGTGTATTGACAGTACGCAGCTCCGCATTCACCACACACATACGGCTTCTCGCCCGTGTGAATGCGGCGATGTCGCACTAAGGAGCTTCGCAGTGAAAACCGACCTCCACACAAGTCACACATGTACGGTTTCTCTCCGGTGTGGGTGCGCTCATGAGTTGTCCGTTGGCTTGTTTCCGTGAACGATTTCTCACAATAATGACACTTATAAGGCTTTATTCCATTATGAATTCTTGTGTGATTAGTAAACGAACTGAGTGAGTTGAAGCTCTTGCCACAAACATCACACTGGTAGGGCCGCTCACCAGTGTGGATGCGATAATGCTTCTCCAACGTTGGGCGTGAGGACAGGAATTTGCCACAAGTTTCGCATCTAAAGACCTGGGAATCCTGCTTCTTCTCCTTCTTTTCCTTCTCTTTATCTTTTTCATGATGTCTAGGTTTCATGCTCCGTTTCCGTTTCTTCCTCTGAGGCACGACTTCTGTATCCGACTTTTCACCCTCATCAACATACAACCACAAACCATCATCACCATCTTGAGAACGTCCACCTGTCTCCTCCAGAAACTTTACTGCTTCCTTTTTTCCATCATTCTTTTCATCTTTCTTGCAATCTTTCTTTCCCTCGTCTTTCTTTCGAGGCTTAGATGATTTACGTCTGCCTTTAGCCTTCCTGTAATTGGTTGCTTTTTCTTTCACCTCCTCATCGTCTTCTGGGACTTCTGACTCGATGACCCGTGTCACATCCAGAGCTGCATTGGCCTGGATTTGCGATTTCCTCGGAGAGCATTTCCTTTTGGGGGCTATTCGAGACATGTTCTTTTTCTCAATAGCTTGGGCTTCGGTTGGTTGGCTCAAGGTCAGACAAGGTTGATTCTCATCAGGCTCCTCTTTGATGGTGACGACCTCTTGGGCGGGCACCTTAACTGGAATTGGAAAGATGCGAATGAGTAACAGATGCAGGGTTCATACAGCATCCCAAACCAAGTGTCCTTGCCAGGCAAATTGGGAAACAAAACAACATTTTGTTGAACATTTGGGATTTTTCAAAGTTCTAATTTTAAATTCAGAGCTAGGTTAACATGTTTAATATTGCAATTAATTCAATGTCAAAGCACTTTATTGGTCCTATTATCATACAAGTCACATCTGCAAAGCCACAACATTAGGAGGTGAGGTGAAATGGGGTTTGACGTTGCGTCCAAGATTATTGCACTTATATATATAGCGACATACATGCACGTGTATGTGTGTGTGTGTGGCTGCTTGTACTAGTCCGGACTGATGCCGATTTATAGTGCTAGCTCACTGAGATACCATGCCGCAGTTCAAAATGAATACCCCACTCAGACACACTATACTGACTCCGAGCCGACCAGTCCCTGTTTTAGCCCCTTAATGCCGAGTAACAACCAGTACCATCTTTCAACGCCTTTTGGTATGACGCGGTCGGGGATTGAACCCCGGACCTTCCGCTCTCTGGGCGGACGCTCTACCATTAGACCACGGAGGCGGTCTCAACATTAGGAATAGCTATTATATTGCATTGGCCAGTTGGTTGTTTGTTTAACGCCGCACTCAGCAATATCCAAGCTATATGACGGCGGTCTGTAAATAATTGAGTTTGGACCAGACAATCCAGTGATTGACATCATGAGCATCGATCCAGTCAATTGGGGTACAATGAAATGCATCTTACGACAAGCATAGTCGCCTTTTACGGCAATCATGGGTAGCTGAAGACCTATTCTACCCTGGATCTTTACATCGCGATATATATCAGGGATTTATCTGGGATTCCAAACCATTAGGTCTTCCCAAATAAGGGAAATATTGTGTCACTACTAACTACACCAAATGTCATGACATTTTGAACAAAAATGACAGAGTAATTGCCACAAAAATCTTTTTCAATCTAACTGCATTATGACCATATTGAAAAATGGATTCAAAGCTTTTAAACAAATTCAGGTGTCATCGCTGGTAGTAACAATTACGTGAAGTTTCAGCTTCATTGGGCCAGCGGTTTCTGAGAAGATGTTTACAGACGACAGCATCGATGACAACAACAGACCCAGGCAAGCAGATGATATAAGTTCACTTGACATTTTAGTCAGATGAACTAAATATATTTTTCCCTCAAAGTTATAATGTTTACAGGTTCTACTACACCAAATCAGAACCAGTTTGGACAGTGCGGTTTTCGTAGGGAGCCTTCAGTGCAGATCGAGAGATATCTGCAGGCTGTGATTGGAGGATATTCTGTAAGATTTTTATGTCTTTCAAATGTACATCCATCCAGTTATTAAAACTGACCATGTTTTTCTATATTTAGTACTGTCTTTTTCAACATGATGACTAATGCTGAATGTGACCACAGCTATTTTCAAGTAGGTGACATTTGGTGCGAAAACTGGGGATGGTGTGTTTAGCTTCCTGTACTCGGAAAAGGAGCTGGCTAAGCTAGTCATTTCTTATTTTTTTTATTGCTGCTCTAAGGCCAAACTGCACACATGTACAGGTAATAGCTGTTGAATGCTTAGTTATTTTAAAAAAAATATAACGTTACTATAGAAGTCTATGGGAAAACATTTGGTTGTGTGTAACCTATAGCCCCGTATTATGGGTTTTCGGAAGGATAAAAAACATTCATAGTTTTCTTGCTGATCACAGGAACAACTGTAAAACAATTCACTCAATTATAAGAGACAACTTTATCTCAAAAACAAGCCACCATCTGGGTATTTACAATGTCTGTGTTACATCAGACCCATTGTTATAGCGTGAATAATCACGATAAACATTGCCATCCAAAAAATGTAACAAAAGAATTTGTTCCGATAAATTCATTTTCAGCAGGTTTTAAAGTAAATAAACAATCAGAAGAAAGTTCAGCATCCCTGAAGCCAACCTTGAGTTTTCTGCTCCTCCTTTTCCAGGTACTTCTGCTGCAACTTCAAGTAGATTCTCTTCAGCTTGTCATATTTCTTCTGCAGCTTATCTCGAGCTTCTCTCTCATGAGCAATCTTCTCAAATTCCACCTCGAAGTCGACGCAACCATCAGGAATTGCTTGTTCTTCCTCGGGCTCATCCAGTGTCCCCTTCATCTTGTGTTTCCTGTTGCCATGGTGAGTAGTAGCTTCATCATCCATGACAACGGGACTCCACTGCTCTCTTGGAAGTCACACACTGCAAAAGATTGGATTACAGATAAAAGCAATATGCACAACAGTCAATATGGAGTCAATGTATTTGGAATTACCAGTTCAAAAACCCATAAAAATAACAATATATATATACCTGCACCGGGTCTTACAAGACGCAGAAATGTGCGTCCAGTACGAATAGATGAATAGAAAGGAGGTAGAAAAGCATATTTTATTGCATCTTCCCGAGGCAAGAGAGTTAACTGACTTTAAAACCAGTTATGTCCCTTCTAAGCCCCTCCTATGGACCAATCAGATTCCACCTCTCGTATCACTTGCATTTGTTTCAAACAAAATGGCGGCGCTCAGTGAGGACGATCTGATCGATGATCAAGATCTATATTGTGTTACAACGGGTCTTGCATCGCGAAATGCATCAAATCACATGAGCACCTTGATTAATAACATGAAAAGATTTTGAAAATATCTGTTTTCAATGAGTTGCGGTGCAATCGACCGAAATCTGCACGACAGTTTACGAACCAGATTTCGATTTCGGTGCGCGATTTTGATTGGACTATGCATAGACTCGTTAGTCCAGCCAAAATGTAACTCCATAATACCAGCCTAGTTCGGCAAGGGTGGAAACTGGACTTTTATGGTCAGTTAACTCTCTTGCCTCAGGAAGATGTACAAGACGCAGATATGTGCGTCCAGTATGAATAGAAAGGAGGTAGAAAAGCATATATTATTGAGTTGCAAGGGATGCACAATAATATTCATTGTACCAAATTCTTGACAAGAGTTATAAAGTTCCTGCAATTAAAGTAATTATTAAATCTTACAGTACAGTACACTATACCATTTCATTACTTTACAGGACCCTCATATTGCCTGTAAAAAGTTCTTCCAGGAAATATGAGGATCCTGTTCTTAGAACCCTTGATATTTGTTTACTGGGCCCTTTGTGTTGTAGGTCAAGGTAAAACTGGACCCAACAACAACAACAACAGTGAGCGTGTAAATCAAATAACTTCATAAGCAATGTATGCTTAAAGCCCTGCACAATTATTCCCCTGGTCAATGAGTTTTCATTTACTACCCAAGCTACCTGTGAGATGCTAGATCAGCAGCAACATTATCATCTCATCCTACCGGGTACCCATTCACTGATGGGTGAACAGAGGCATACTTCGAACAAAGTTTCAAGCCAAAGGAGACACCACATGCAGCACATGTGCTTCAATGTGGGGCAGGACCGTAGCCCTAGATGCTCAGGAGCCCAACTCTCGAATGCTGTCACCCATCCAAGGACTCTCCGCCGGCAATCTCATTAAAATCAGATCTTAGTTCTCGCTACCGCTAAACAAAGATCTGAAGACATCCCATTAGGCGTCACGTCAGAACGACCTTTCATCCGACCAATCAGTGTGTCGCTTACCAGATTATGAAAGTGACAGTCAGAATGTGATTTCTAATCATGCAATCTCGAAAACTTTAACATGGGGAATTCCGAATGATAGTTATGGGTTTAACGACTGAATACTTACAATCTAGACCATCTATTAGCCATTCCAGAATGGTTTTTTTTGTTCAGGTTTCAAATTTGTAATCAACAATTTGTCAAAATATGTCTCGAAGTGTAGTCGCCAAATTGAAATTTGTGCCGTAAAGCACGAGAAAGCTGCCTTCTGATTGGTCATTCCATTGGTCGGTCAAACTTCACGCAAGGTCGTTCTGACGTGACCCGTAATGGGATGTCCTCAGATCTTTGTTTAGCAGTAGCGAGAACTTAGATCTGATTTTAATGAGATTGCTCCGCCACCATTGCTTAACCTGAAACTGATTTGTGTGACCTGTGTGCTGTGCACAGGACCACGTGAGGTGAGGTGAGGTGAGGTGAAATGGGGTTTAACGTCGTGACAAAGATTATTGCACTTATATAGTGGCGTGCATGCACGTGTGTGGTTGGCTGCTTGTACTAGTCCGGACTGATGCCAATTTATAGTGCTAGCACACTGGGATACCATGCCGCAGTTTAACATGAATACCCCACTCAGACACAGTATACTGACTCCGAGCCAACCAGTCCTTGTTTTAGCCCCTTAATGCCAAGGGTCAAACAGGGTAACAACAAGTACCATTTTTAAACGAGACATGAGGGTGAGGTCTACCTGTAAACTACTTATGGTCGGATGCGAAATATCACAAATATGGAACAGAATTATATTTAGGACTGCATTGTACTATCGGCATACTAGTACACAGCAAGACGCTTTTCAAACAATACATATTTCAACATTTGCACTATTCTAGTATATTGGGTAAACAAAATATATCAAGTTTCATTATTATTCATGTCATTTAACCTGAAGTCTGTACAGAAATTCACAACTGGCTGACAAAGCTGAGTAAAATTTACTTTAGTATTTAGAAAATAAGATCTCCATGTACAATCAGTGTCAAACACATAATCTCCCAATACATCAGTATACAGATACTTGTATCAAAATATATTGCAATAAAATATTTTTACCAATACACAGCCCTAATTATATATACATCTATTAAATTTCAATTTTTTTTATATAAAGACAGAAATACCCTAAAACTAAGGTACTATGCTCAGCATGTGGCCATTTTGACTTGTCATTCATAAAAAAAATAAAGTTTTCTTCACCTGAGCAGCTAACACTTCTCTTCGGAACTGCTTGAAGACAGGTTCATAGGTTTTGTGTGTTTCAACCACCAATCTCACTAAAATCAGATCTTAGTTCTCGCTACCGCTAAACAAAGATCTGAGGACATCCCATTACCGGTCACGTCACAACGACCTTTCGTGAACTTTGACCAACCACTGAAATGACAAACATCAGCCAATTAGAAAGCAGCTTTCTCGAGCTTTACGGTACTCGTTTCAGCCTGGTGACTTCCATTTCAGAATACGCTTGAAATATATGTTAGCACAGTTCTTGATTAAAATTTTGAAAACTGAACAAACGAACATTCCGGAATGTCTAATATATGGTTGAAATTGTATGACAGTACTTCCCATGTACTGTGCAACGCCTCCTCCATTTAAATGTTTGACCCACGGAAGCAAGAGATAAACGATAATTTTGACGGAATCAGTTGTACGGGCCGTAACTGTCGTTAGGAATACCCTGTGTTAACGTTTTCGAGGTTGCATGATGAGAAAACACATTCCAACTGTCACTTTCATGATCTGGTAAGCGATGCACTGATTGGTCGGATGAAAGATCATTCTGACGTGACCCGTAATGGGATGTCCTCAGATCTTTGTTTAGCGATAGCGAGAACTACGATCTGATTTTAATGAGATTGTTCAACCACCTACCAAACAACTTGAAGATATAAATCTGAAATAATGCTACAGCGAAGATTAATCCTCATCACCAAGTTCTTACTTCAGAATTTCATAGAAATCAGTTACACATAATCTGGGATTCGATCTCACGTACAAATAATGACATCCTGGCACACTCAAGGTATGTAACTCAGCTCAGCAAATAGCAGCACCAAAGACGACTTTAGCACCAATGCACCCACTGAGGGAGTAATTTTATTATTGATTTACACATTTTTTAAATCAATTATTAAAGCTTTCCTTACAGATAATTCTCCTCATATGGGCCAAACGAAGAAATAATTAGGTTAACAACTAACCACATGAACTAACTTCAATCAACTAGTCCAATAACACTACGGGCACATGATTAGCAATAGATTCTTAGGTACTGAGGAGACATAATCATTTTCAAAACATAACATGGGGTGAAATCATTAAAAAAACATTGCAAGTTCATTTCTAACCAGTGTTGCCAGCACCAAATTAGACCATTATGTAACATAATAAGGTTGATCTGCAGATGCTGGTTATAGAGTTACCTCCCTTGAAGCAGGAGCCTGTCCAGTTCCTGAGAGCTGTAATAATTTCAAGCTTTGGAGCTGAGTTAACTTTTTGCATGTCTTAAATACAAAGCCTACACACAAAAATATTAATCATTGATCAGAAGTTCTGTTGGGTAGAATAGGTCTTCAGCAACCAATGCCTGCCGTAAAGGGCGACAATGCTTGTCTTAAGAGGCCATCGTGTGGTCAGGCTCGCTGACTTGATTGATGCATGTCATCAATCCCAATTGCGTAGATCGATGCTCATGATGTCAATCTCTGGATTGTCTGGTCCAGACTTGATTATTTACAGACGGCCGTCATATAGCTGGAATATTGCTGAGTGCGACGTAAAGCAACAAACCAACCAAACCAGTCTTAACTGGGAAATCATAAGTCATACAAATTTGGGGCCAATAAATGTAAATCATTAATGACTTGGGAGGGTACGATGACACCGGTCCTGACCTCCCCATGTATTTAAGGCCATTCCTAATATGGAATCTATGTGGAAAATACAAAAATTAAACCTCTGTGAACATTTGAATAAATTATCAAGTACCTGAGAGCTTGCGACGACGTTCATACAATGTTTGGCCATCACTCTATAAAGGTTCATACTCTAACGAACTCACATAAAGTGAAAGTCAATGCTTATAATTTTCATATCACTATTTTATACTCGAAGGATGTAGATCTAGATCGATACACAATTTTGTTTAGAATCAAGTGTGACTACATGTTTAGACAGTGAGTGAGTGAGTATGATTTTACGCCGCTTTTAGCAATATTCCAGCAATATCACGGCGGGGGTCACCAGTAATGGGCTTCACACATTATACCCATGTCGGGAATCGAACCCAGGTCTTCGGCGTGACGAGCGAACACTTTAACCACTAGGCTACCCGACCGCCCCCTGTTTACACAGACAGCATACAACCAGCTGTATTGCTGGATAAAACAGTTTCTCAAAAAGATAGGTGACGTGAGGGTATGTATGCCCAACTTGCTCCACAGGAACATCTGTTGTAGTTTGTTTTCAACAAATGTATTAAAAAAATATCAGTGAGTGAGTGAGTTTGATTTTACGCAGCTTTTAGCAATATTCCAGCAATATCACGCCGGGGGACACCACAAATGGGCTTCACACAATGTACCCATGTCGGTAATCGAACCCGGGTCTTCGGCGTGACGAGCAAACGCTTTAACCACTAGGCTACCCGACCGCCCCTAAAATAATATCATCATTAGAAAGGTGTGTTAGGAACTACCTCAGTAAGTCAGTCAGAATGAGAGAGTGTCGTAATACATTTACATCAAGTACAAGACGCCAAATTGGCTGACACAAAAAATTGGACAGGAGAGAATACTGAAGTTACATGTCATCATTGATCAATTGGCCTATCATTGAAAGGTGATTATACAGTTGTGTCAAATAGATATTACGGTAGATTCATAGATTCCTGTAGACAACCACTGTAGTCCAGACATGGATTGAGTCAATACTACGATAGTTTGGATGTGCATTTCTTCATTTTGTTCACTAGTAGGGCTTGTAGCGAGGATATTCGTGAACGATCATGCAGTCAAACTCTCTCACGTTTCTCAATGTATGCTAAAAAGTTCACTTCAAGATTAAAGGGTCTAAATGATCAGAAACAACGCTTCTGTATTTATTCTCGTTAGGAAATACCCGGGGGTTTCCCAGGAATGGGGAAGTATTCCGTCAATGTTTACGTCATTTCAAGAACACTGTCTCGTGAAAAACATATGTATGTCAAATTGTTTCTTTGATACACTAATGAACGTCCATTTCTCAGTCATGTGACCTACCTCTCCTCCATTGAAAAAGCTATATTGCGTGTAAAAACTTCAAATCAAATAATTATTAAGATTTAATCAGACAAAAACCTGCACAAATAGTGATTGAGTGAGTTGGGTTTAACACCATAGTCAAGTCATATGATGTGCAAGGATTCACCTAGACCTGCTCAGATGCAGATATTCGGCACCAAGTCTGCAGCAAATTTTGATAAAAATTCCCAAATTGGAAGAATATATTTTCAAATTCATGTAATAACTCAATTAAATTTAATCTGCAGTTCACTGTTAACAGGACCAATAAAGAGGAAGTTGTTTTTATGCTTTGTTTTATATACTATTGCATCGAATATAATGTAACAAACCTTCTGAATTTAAGTTGGTTGGTTTGTTGTTTAACGCCGCACTCAGAAGTATTCCAGCTATATGACGGCGGTCTGTAAATAATCGAGTCTGGATCAGACAATCCAGTGATTGACATCATGAGCATCGATCCACGCAATTGGGATTGATGACATGCATCAACCAAGTCAGCGAGCCTTTTATGACAAGCATAGTCACCTGAATTTAAGAAAAGAAGAATTTTTAAAATGTCAAAATTTTGAACAATGATTTTTCCCAAATTGCAAGCCAGGGGCATTTAGTTTTGAATCCTAGATAGTCCCTGGAAAGTGCTGATAGTTGATACATACCTAAAATATGATTTAAAAGTAGGAATAGTGGAACAAAATAACATGTTTGGGGCAACAACAAAAAATTTATTATGAAATCTGACATCAAATAATATCTTGTAAAAATGACTCCCTACGAAGGACCTATGACACCATCCCAACAGGCAACAGCGACAGAAATTGCCACTGGTCCTAAAGGCCTTGCCAAACTTCCCTATAGTTAAGGTACTATAAGGACTAGAAGAAATTTGCCATTTTCAAGGGTTTTGCTATATGCTATCATCATAAGAACTAGTGGCAGGCTTAGAATTAACACTAGCTTGCTTGTGCGGGCTAGTAAAAATTTCCAAATTTCCCCATTTTCTTAACATTACAAGGGCATTTTATTTTTAACTCGGTTAGTAAAGATTTTGTGAATTTAGCTCCAACCCTGAGTGGCCTAAAAATGTGGAAGACAAATGTTTTGGTTCACTCTAGGGATGACAATATCAGCCGGAAGTATTCAAACAAGGCTAGTACATGCTACTCTTCGTAAGGCATATTTTGCTGCCAATGTCTATGGTACATTATAGCTAAAATGGATAGAATTATTATTAAACCGCCTTCATGTTATCAGAAATGAGCGGGCCAGTGTAACTTGATAATGCCCTCATATTGCTTGCGACGGGCCATTATCACGCCCGTTGTTAGGTGACATCATAAGGTAGGGAGGGATAGGTGACGTCACGTTCAATAGTGACGTCATCTGGTTTGTTCTATGACGTTTCCATATTTGTAAAAGGGGGTCAGTGACATTTGTGTTGACTGCAGTAAATGTTTCAAAACCGATATTGTTGTTTCTTTTTATTTGATAACAAATTCCATCCATTTTAGCTATAATAACGGTAACGCTATTTTTCAGGGCATTATCATTTGCAGAAGCCTCCGTTCTTTTCAACTGTCCTCCTTCTTCGGGCAGTCAATGGAAGACCTCAGGCTTCTGCAAATGATAATGCCCTGAAAATAGCGTTACCCTTACATCAACACCTACACAGTATCAGGTTCCACTGGGAACGTCTGTGCCTGATCCAAGTCAGTGAGTCAAATAACAACCATTTGTACTTAGTATTAGAAGGGACAGGATGTTGATGGACCTGTGTGTTTTCAAATCTTGCGTGAGATAATTTCCAAGTGTGACATCATCTGCCCGATTCATTTCTCACACCAAAACAATAGAATTCTGTGTAGTGAAGCCGACTATGCAAAGCACTGTGCAGAGTAAACTGGCTTCATAGTTTTATACCCGGCGCGTCATACCAAAAGACGTTAAAAGATGGTACTTGTTGTTACCCTGTCTGGCGCTCGGCATTAAGGGTTAATACAAGGACTGGTCGGCTAGGAGTCAGTATACTGTGTCTGAGTGGGGTATTCATGTTAAACTGCGGCATGGTATCTCAGTGA